TTAGGGTTTAATCATTTCAATTAGGTTAGGGTCTAGTGTTTAGGTGTTTTTTTTTTTTTTTTTTGAAAGAAAGAAAACTTCATTACAATTGCTGGAAATCAGCCAGCTCTGATTGGTACAAACCGTCCAACAATGACTGACGGGAGAATACAATCACTAAACTATTACAACTAGAAATACAAAATAAAACTTTCACCAACCAATTGCTATTCCCGGGAGGAGGGATCCTCCAACGGCATGATTCTATTGTTGGACAAACAACGAAACAGATAAAAAATCTGAACTTGAGTAGGTCACTAACCATCGAATTAAAGCTCCAATTAGTAAATCTGAATAACAGATTCACCGTGACTGAAAATTCTCGAGCCAAATTAGCCGTCATTAAAGACGACGTGCGGCACTCAACAGATCGACCACGATCTATTAAGCCACACAAGACAAACAACAGACCTGGCTCTGTTGGCGCACTATATTCACTCAGTAAAGAATCGAACTAGGAGCCATATTGAGAGTGGGAAATTCCACTTAATTGAATTAAAAAACTAGGATAAAAACAACAAAAATATAAAAATAAATTAAACAGAAAACACAACATTGGTCGCCAATCTGATAAACAGATCAGACCAACAGATCGCATCCGTAATACCGATATAGAACTAACCAGAACTTTGATTTCTCTAGGATCGGGATGAATTGCTGACATCAGAGTTTCAAAGTTGATGTTGATGACGCGACGGTGGTACAGAGGCTTCACTGACGGTGGATAGATGTATATCATTCTGCTTTTTCCGATGGGCAGAAAGAAAACAAAAATTTTACTCCCCCAACCACCGTTAATGGAGGTTGGAGGAGGAGGCAGCAGAGGTTTTTAGAAGAGAGACGGAGAAGCTTTTTTTTTCAAGAGAGAGGGGGAGACGTGCTCTAAGTTTTTTTTTTTTTTTTAGTGTTTAGGATTTAACAATTTTAATTAGTTTAGGGTCTAGTGTTTAGGTTTAGGGTTTAGGGTTTAATCATTTCAATTTGGTTAGGGTCCAGTGTGTGATGTAACACGATTAACTTATAAATTTTTTTAATTCAATTAGGTTATGAGACCCTAGCCTAATTGAATTACAATAATTTAAACCGAATAGAAAACATAATGTGTTTAAGGTTTAGGGTTTAATCATTTCAATTAGGTTAGGGTCTAGTGTTTAGGGTTTAGGGTTTAAGTATTTCAATTAGGTTAGGGTCTAGTGTTTAGGGTTTAAGGATTAATAATTTTAATTAGGTTAGGGTCTAGTGTTTAGGGTTTACGGTTTAAACATTTGAATTAGGTTAGGTCTAGTGTGTGACTTAACACGATTAACTTATAAATTTTTGTAATTCGATTAGGCTAGGGTCTCGAAATTTAAACCAAATAAAAAACATAATGTGTTTAGGATTTAGGGTTTAATCATTTCAATTAGGTTAGGGTCTAGTGTTTAGGGTTTAGAATTTAAGCATTTCAACTAGGTTAGGGTCTAGTGTGTGACGTAACACAATTAACTTATAAATTTTTATAAAAATTGAAACCGAATAAAAAACATAATGTGTTTAGGGTTTAGGGTTTAATCATTTCAATTAGGTTAGGGTCTAGTGTTTAGGGTTTATGTTTAAGCATTTCAATTAGGTTAGGGTCTAGTGTGTGACATAACACGATTAACTTATAAATTTTTGTAATTCAATGAGGCTAAGGTCTCATTTCGAATAAAAAACATAATGTGTTTAAGGTTTAGGATTTAATCATTTCAATTAGGTTTGGGTCTAGTGTTTAGGGTTTAGGGTTTAAGCACTTCAATTACGTCAGGGTCTAGTGTTTAGGGTTCAGAGTTTTGGGTTTAAAATATCTTAATGCATATGGAGCCATGTAAAAATGTATAGGAAAGTAAGCAAGAATGTATATGAAGACATACAATAATGCATATAAAGATATATAGATATGTATATAAAGGCACATGAATATGTATATGAAGATATCCGAAAATATGAAAGCAGGCAATAATGTATTCGCATGTATAAAAAAATGTATATAAAAACATTCGACATCGTATGTTTCCATATATATTTTCGTATACCTTCTTATGCATAGGATATGCATACATATGAAATGTATACGAAGGCGAACAAGATGTATATGAAGGCCAACAAAAATATATATGAAAACATACATGTATATAAAAGCATGAGACAATGTATACCAAGGTGTACGAAGGCATACGAAAAATGTATATGAAGACATACATGTATATAAAATCATGCGACAATGTATACAAAGGCGTACGATATGTATTTGAAGGCATACGAGAAATGTGATATAAAAGTATTATTTTACTAAAAAAACATAAATTAAATTCTTATACACTCAAATATAAATAATTTGTGAAAAATATTTTTCATAGAAAAATATATCAAAAAGAAACAAATAATGAAAAATTATATAAAAAAATCAAAATGTAATTAGTGAAGAATAAAACAAAACGAAAGAAATAATAATTTAACTTTTTTTTGGTAAAAAAAAATTTACCTTTTCATATACATAATAATTAAACAACATATACATTGTTTTTGATATGTAAATTTGAATGAAATTTTTAATTCAAAAAATATTAACAATAGATCTTAATGAAAAGATCTCGTCGCGTAGATTAATTTGATATATAGCACGTTGTCTAATTATTTATATATTAAAAGATATAATTATTTGAAAAAATAGGAGAAAACTAAAAATAAATAAAATTAAAAAGAAATGTGGGACCGAGAAGAGAGTGAGGAATAGATGGGAAGAGTGGGCTAATGGGGGTCGTGCATGTGTAACGCACGCGCAAGTGGTATTTGGTTTTTTTCCTTTTGTGGTACCATAATGGGCTATTGAGCCCAATTTCTAGTTACAAGTAGGGGTAAGGTCTTCTTATGGTGATGATAATGATGGATGGTGATGGTGATTCGTGGGTGTGGTGAAGGCAGCGTGGGCTCGAAGAACCACAAAAAAAAAAACGATTAGTAGGCAAGGACAACGACAACCAGCAACAAAATAACAAGGCAGCAGCACGAGAGAACGGCAATGGCCACCAATGGAGGACGAAGAAGGAGAAGAAACCACGCTGGCAGAAGAAGAATTGGTGCGGTCGACAGCGGAGAAGGAACCAACAGAGGGCCGAGAGAAAGAAGAAATAACGGGTGACCGAAAAAAATCCTAGCTCTGATACCAACTTAGAATAATATGGATTGTGTTTCATTCATGATTGTGATGTACCGTATATATAGTATTTATAAAGAATAACAAACTCTACATACAAGGCTATAATAGTAATTACAATAAGTATCGTCATACTTTTGTATGTTTGTGCTAATTTTTTTAAAACACTAATTCTATCAATCGCCATCCATCACCATATAAATAATCCGGTGTAATTAATGTATTATTTGGTTAATTTGGATTTTGTTATTATTATTTTGGAGTATTTGAAATTGAAAAAATTTATTATTGATGATTATATATTAGTTGAATATTATAAATATTAGTACTGGCCTCGCGCATTGCACGAGTTGTGCTAGTTTTTAGGTTAAAGAAAACATAGAATAAATTTAAAAAATTGCACAATTTTGTTTTAGGTTTTTTTCATAACTGGAATAACGGTTAAAACTTGCGTGTAGTTGCCATATTTTCATTTTTTTTTCCTTTAAATATTAGCTTCAGATTTGGTGATGATTGCTTAGCTGCCATCTTGTTTTTATCATTTGCATCTAAGCAACTAATTAAAATGATAAGCTCTTATTCGAATAAAATTTATACTCCCTCCGTCACATAATAATTGTCCAGTTTGAATTTTTATTTTTAGTTCAAATTATACTCACTACAACAAAATGGGATAATAGTACACTTTTTTTATGTACTAATAAGTAGGTTTATAGGACACTTACACAATAGGACATAATCAAGAAGTGTGCTCTATTCTCTAGTCACAATAGGTATATAAGACACTTAAGAGTGTCCTATTAAATCAATCCTTAATGATACACTTGATGAGTGTACCATAAAATATGTGGGACACTTGAGCAAATAAAACACTTAAAAGTATCTCAATAAATACAACGTTATTAGGACGCTTTAAAGTGTCATAAAAAAGCGTTATATTATTAATACATATTAAAGTGTTTCAATAGATATAGAGCTATTTGAAAATTTTGGAGTGCCCTAATAATTTTTCTTATAAATAAATAAATATATATATATCAAAAGGTAATTTAAACCATAATTGAAATTCGAAACCAGAGAAACTGTAATCTATATTATACCCCATTATAACAAAAACTAATTTTCACCAAAATTCCAAGTGTCATGTTTTCCTAAAAATTTTCCTCAAGTTCATACGTGTAATTATTTTCCAATCCTGCTATTATCTTTTTTATGAACACATTTCAAAAAAAAAAAAAAAAACCTCCCTCCCCACTATCTTCATAAAACGGTTTCCAATCCCATTCCTAAAAGTAAACTCCAAATCCTTCCATAAATAGCTTCCTCACTAAATTAAAACTGTACAATAGAGAGTTTACCATCAAATTTTCAAGAAAATTCAATCAGTTTTTCTTTTTCTTTTTTTTTTATCTATACACCCCATTATACCAAAAATCAGTTTTTGTCTAAAATTCCAACTGTCAATCTATCTTTAAAAGTCTCCACACCTAACCCAAAACCAAAAAAGACTTTCAATTGAAAACAAAAAGAAAAACTTCCGGTGACACATTCACAATTTTGTTTTATTTTTTTAATATAAAAAAAATCTATTTCCATAAACGCATCCCCTCAAATCTGCAAGAAACTACCAAAAAAACTTACTCCCATGTTCCATCTACACGTTTTGTCATCAAGAAAAAAACTGTAACCATTCCCACATTCTTTGCCCATATTTTCTTTCCAAATTAAACTCCCAAAACTAACTCATATATTCCAATTCAACAATTAACTTTCAATTCAAAAAACAATTCTCCCCACGTTTACATTAGTTAGGGAACTGGATCAGTTTTTTTCCCCGAGTTTTAAACCAATACAAATACTAATCTTTGTGAAATTCTCTTTAGTGATTTTAACCCAATACAAAATCTGCTTTCACATCTCAATAATTTCGTAAATCTTCATCCTTTTTTTCCCAACTATATAAACAATTTTGGCAGTGAAGAATGAAGAAATCTGGCAATGATTGTTAAAAATCGAGAAGTCTTTTTTTTTATGGGAGAAACTACTTGGCCAGAAGCCAGGAACTAAGTTTGCGATATGGATGTTTTCCTTGAGGAAATTTTCTTCACAGGATAATAACGCTTGCTTGCACCAAAGGTACCATTTTTGAACTTCATCCGTTTGAGATTTATTCTTCCTTTCAAGCAAAGTTGGATTCTAAAACTGTGAATCTCCTCATTTGAACACAGTACCTTTTGTGAGTTATTTGAATGTCTTATAATTGATTCATCATCTACCCCATCCCGAGATCATTTGGTGATTAGTATTTATAATTTTCAGCCCATTATATTTTTAAGGTCATATATGCCCTTTAGAAGACATTATCATTGTCCGCATTTAGTATTATTTTTTACAACAATCTTACTACGTCTCGTGCGTTAAAGTGTTATACTTTATGCACTTACAGATAACTTTGTGAGAAGATATGTTGCATTTGTTCTTTTTGCCGGCGTTTTTGACAAGAAAGAAAAACTACTTTAGTTCAATGCAAAAGAAGAAAACTGGAAACATGACGAATATAGACATGAAATCTCCCATCAATTCCATCATGGGAAAGTTTTTCTCTTTCAGTTTTCTTAAGTATAATATTGTACACTTTGTCTCTAAATATGCTATAACCATTCTTTGACAATCCTGTTGTTATGGCATTTCTAAGCTTAACAGCAACACCATGTATATGTAATCTGAATTTTGCAGTATAAATGATTAATATTTTTTAACGAGATAAAAAAAATTGTAATGTATTATCCTTGATTGGTATCAGAAACTTTTGATAGTTTGATTTGTATAGCATATAGTATCTGATTGCATATAAAAAAAAATCTCGCAATTAGGTTTCTGAATAAGGTCATATTCCTTTTTTTTTTTCATCTACGTTTATAGCCCTTTAATCTTTGTATTGTGGTTTTTAAAAAAATTAAGTTAATTTTTATAATTGGTATGAAAATTATAGTTTATATACATATGATGATTCCACAACTAACTTAGAAAATGGAAAATAATGTGAAAAATTAAAGTTAATCTTACATGTATTGAATTTGGCAAAACAATATTTGTCTCACTAATTGACAATAGTCTTTCACTGTTTAGTCTATTTTCCACCATTTTCCTTTGCAAATTTTTTATTTTTATATTGTTTTTTTTGTAGTCGTCTTTTAACGGTCAAAAGGAGTAAAAAATGTCAATTTTCAGAAAACAGAGGGAGGTTGAAATGAATGAAGCAGTTAGGAGGTGAAATTGGTCGGTGGAGAAGGGCTGCTGACGGCATCACTGTGAGAATGGCGATACAGACTGGAGGTGGACAATGATGCTACGTGGATTGGGAAACAAGATCAGAATCAGATGGATGCAAAAAGACAGAGTAATTAAAATCTTTCAGGCGTTGGTGTAATTGTATATATATATACATCTATACAAGACACAGACAAAAAAAGCTTCGTAAATATCAACAAAACACCAGCGGCGGCCATGGTAATGCGAGTTCCATTCAGACCCTTTATACCTGTTACTGTAAGTATTTCTTTTTCATTGATTCTTTCAACTCTTTTTTGGTTCTGGAGTGGAAGTTTTGGTTTCGGATACTACTGTTTAATTCACATATTGGGATGTTATTGCTTTACCCTTTGTCCAGCAAAATTGGCTGTGATTATTCTTGGTGTTGATTTTGGTGCATATTATGGAAATATAAAATATTTGCTTATGATTGTGCCATGTTCCTCTAAGTCGAAATGATATGGTTGACTGGCTGAATACTAGATTTTAGCACAGATAAGGTGGAGCTGATCAATGACTGTTCGCTTTAGGTCTACATGCGATGCCATTTTTTTTCCCCTTTTGTTTGTTCTTCGAGGTGTGCTAGTTAGAATGCAGTGGATCTTCTGCGATAAGAGCAAACTAAGCAGGGTAGAACCATTGAAGTAGAATATTATGTGGGTATCCACATGAGATTGGACATTGCAGAGAAGTTTCTATTTGAAACTTTTGCAAAGTGACATCGCGGCCCTTAAGGAAGTTGGACTTAAAATTCCTTTGGAACAGTTGAGCAGTATTTTGATGCCAGTGGTAGGCCGGTAGACTTAGGTGCTGTTGCCATGAGTAAATCTTGGTCTCTTGTCTGCCAATTGGATATAAATGTGGGAGTTAGGTCACCTGTAGAATGGAAGGAAGTTGAATGGAGTGGCAATCAGCTTCTTCATCGCAGCAGAAGTTTATTTGTTTTTTTATATGTATTTTTTTTGTTCTTGTAATTGGATTTGGATTTTGTTCTCGACTGCAGTGGTGCTCCGAAAAGGTGCCCATCCTGCTAAAGATAACTTATGAGCTTTCATTTAGCTTGGAGATGCTGTTTAGTGATGCAAATTCTTTAAGATAGTAAGACAAAAAAAAAAAAAAAAATCAATATTCTTTCACTTCTTATAAAAAACATTGAAACTCAGAGATTGACCATATACTGTGGGTACTGCCTTTTTAGACGTTTTATGGGGTTATAATTTGGTTCCTTATAAGGAAATTTGTAGTGCTTTAGGAAACTCAGCCCATTCGAGGAGATTGGAAAATGATGATACTTCATGGTGATGTTTGAAAGATGATTTTAGTGTAACAGGGAATTCAATATCCATCTGCACAAACGGTATATGTGCACTACTACTATGTCATCTTAAGCAAAGTTAGTCAGCACAATGAAGATACTGTTGTGACTTTATGCTGATTGAGCTTCAGTAATAGGTGTCAAATTTGGTGAAAGTATCCACACGAAAATCTGGTGGAAGCAGTACATGTTGCACAGGTGATATGGTTAAGAGAGAATTCTACGAAAGAATAGCCTCTTCATATAAGTTTTACCTACTCCAGTCATTCTACCACAATTTAGTAGTTCAAAACTGTTTCTTTGAGCAGAATTTTCACACTTCTTTTAGAATGTATCTCAGTTTCATGCTTTGGACGCAGAAAAATGAAGTTTATTCGAGTTTTTCTTGTTGCATATTGAAGTTAGCTGTGTATTTAGGAAATTTACAACTATTAGATATGAAATTTCTAATTGAAAGCATTTCTCTTTTCTGTTCTCGACATTATCATATCCTATCTCATTTGAAGAGGTCTATCTAAAAAGACGTCTGAACATGTTTTATCCTGCTGACTCCCCTTAAAAGCGATATGCTAACTTTCCCGAAACGCAAGAAGTACCGACATGTAGGGCTGCAATGCTATACTTCTGAAGCTCCTTGTCTTCTTTCATCTTGTTTATATCCTTTTTGAAAACTAGGCTGCACGTGTTGATGCGAAGATCAATATGTAATGCTTAAATTTTGAAGTTAAAGGGATCCCCTAAATACGATTCACTGTATATTAATGGCGGATTTTCTACCTGATTAGATTTGAAAATCCTGTATGCATCTTTTTTACAGTGAATGGAATTTGGGTGTCATGTTTCTCTATGAAAGCATGAGGTGAGAATATCAATTTGGTGCTCCACTAGGCATTCTTTTTTCATATTTGCTTTGTAGTGTCTATATCTTTCTTCATTAGCTATTGCTGAAAGATAATCCTTGGCTCAGAGATGAGGTTTTGATACCTTGAGCCATTAGGCAATGAGCTTCTTGTTGAACAAGAGAAGGGTAAATAGCTTAGCCATTATCATTAACTTAAATGGTCTTGCGTGAGCTTTTTCCACTTTACATTGTTTGCCCTATCTTGGTTGCTTCTGATGGGCAACTGACTTGATAAGTTCAGGTAGACTGGTTTTTGATGATTTAATTCTATGTGAACTTATAGATGATTGTTTATATGTTCCCTTCTTTGTTTTATTGGTACTATTTGATTTTCTCGAGCCAGTGATGCATATATTGTGGGAATGTATATAGAACTTCTTTCTTACTGTGCTTGTATATTATACAGCTCACAAGATTTACAAGAGAACTAGCGGAGCCGGTGTTGAAAGGAAATTCTCCCTCTTATTGATTTGTGATTTCGGAGAACTCTATAAAAGGTTGATGCTGAAAGTATTCATGTTTCCCTGTATTGCAGATACTATTGCTTCAACAAGAAAGAATGATAAGCATTTTGGTAGGATTGGAAGGGTCATAACTTCAGTAGATACTGTGAGATTTGTGCAGACAGCTTTCCGAATTTCATTTCCTAGGGCTGCTTCTGAAAGTAAAGAGAAGCCATCTTCAAATTTAAGAAACAGGAAGGTAATTCCTGAGTCAGATCCGCCTAGCATCAAAGATATCAACCATCTGTATCAATTCTTCGATAGAAGGTATGATTGAAACTGTTTTAGACCATTGTAGGCGCCCACTGACTTATTGTCTTGAACCTCTTTTGGAGCAGTGGAATGCATGGCCATACATTTTCTGGCATAAAATTATTATCTCTATTAGAATGCTGTTTTTTGGACAATGGTCAATTTTCTTTGAGTGTTTCCAGATGTCTCTATATATGCTGCAACTTTTTCATCCTAGCTTAAACTTCGACAATCATGGAAAGAGGTCATTAGCATGTATGTGGAGCTGGGTTTTTTAGCGTTTCAGATTTTATTTGGAGATTAAATATCACACCCAGTTTCCAATACTTCCAAATTAGAAATTTTTAGCTCATTTCATTATATTAGAACTATGACTTGGTGTATCTTTGGATTTGAAACCCATGACGATAATTGATACATTTATTGCATTGCATGATTTGAGCTAGCACATAGAAATTTGTTTTATGTAGCCGGTTTATACTTGATCTGAATATTAGAAGTTTCTCTCAAAGCATTGAGAAGTTACATGAGCTCAAGTACTTGAATTCTGTTGAGTGTTATAAAGTTGTTTACATAATGTCTGGCGCTCCTGACTCATCTTTTCATGTGATCTTACAGTTCAAAACTTGTTGTTCTTACTGGTGCTGGCATTAGCACAGAATGTGGAATTCCAGACTACAGAAGGTTGTGCTCTTTAAAAATTTCAGAAGGAAATTCTTTCATTCTCAATTATATGATTTTTCGTCATTACATTTGTTTTGTATTCACACACACACACACACTTCTTTTGGGTTTTTTTTTTTCTCAAAATTTTGATAAGACAAGAATGAAATGTTAGATCGCTTTATAAATCTTTTGTGGAATCTTGTTTTGTCATCCGTGGAGCTCCATCTCGAATATTTTGATTTTTTCACACATCTGACCTTTTGATTGCACGTTGAGGTTCTTAGTTCGCCCTGGAACTTTTAAGTAGTGTACAGATAACTAAGACCTCTATTTAAACTGATGAAGATGTTTTAGACGACCCCGAACCGGGCATCTCAGTTAATGGGCAATTATATTTGAGTAAAATTTCGAGTCCCACGTGGAACATTGTGTATGTCGATCTCGAATAGTGAATCTCTATTTCTGTTCAAGGGAAAACCTTGTGCAATCTTCCCCCTTGTGCTGGGTCATGCCTAATCTAGGCAGCCTTACATTTAAATTCCTATAAGATGTTGTTTTGCAACTCTGATATGTGACCCCAGAATGCGTCACAACAGCTGTTACCTCTGCTCCAAGGCTTGCCCTCAAATATTATTTCATAAGATAAAAATCACAAAAATTATGACTCCCCAGTTATGATAGCTACTGTGAACTTTACGGGAAATGGAAGTTTGATCTGTTCCTGATAATTCTTTTGTGTGAATATTCTACAAGATGAGGAGCCTTGGTGCAGTGCTGAAAGCTGTTGCTATGTGACCTGAGGTCACAGGAGTCCCAGAAACAGCGTCTTATAGAACAGCAAGGTTGGCACATGCATTAGCTTCATGGGGATGCACTTTTAAATTTCTTCAAATGAAAAACTAAGTTTTTCTTATCTTTTTTCACAGTCCGAATGGAGCTTATAGCACTGGATTTAAACCCATAACCCATCAGGTGAGTCGAAGGAATGAGCTATATTATATTCTTGCTGTCTTCTGTTTGATTTTTTCTTCTTTCATTGAACTTGTGTTGGTAAGTGTTCTTGAAATTAATCTACCAACTTGCATCATTACGTTGGTGGTGGTTCTGTGGTGAAATACTAGGTAAGGTCAAAAAAGTTGAAATGGAACAGAACAGCCAGTTTAAAAATGTCACAAGCCATAAGAATTACCTTCAACTAGATGCCATTTGGAGTGGTATTGGTTCTCAATGTAGTCTGAAGTGGAAATTCTTTGTAATTAAAATTCCTTCATCATTAAACTTCTATGAAAAAAACACTCATATCTTACATAAGTTACAATCGCCTATATTTTCAACAATAATGAATATGACGTGCTAATTGTATGTTTATAATGAGGAAATGTTTTGTAATGCATCTATGTGAACTCTAACTATCTGTGATTTTCGATGTATTGAAAAAAAAAACCTTAGATGTATGGGCGATTAGGAGTATGTTGCAAACGTTCCACATATATTCCTTCTCCAATTGTTTTGGCACTTCTATGTTCTGTTGGATGTTACAAGTGCATGTATGACAAAATTTAATTGTTTATTGGGTAAGCAGGAGTTTATGCGTTCTGTCCGAGCACGGAGAAGATACTGGGCCAGGAGCTTTGCTGGATGGCGAAAGTTCTCTGCATCTCAACCAGGTGCCGCGCATATTGCTTTGGCATCTCTTGAGAAGGCAGGCCGAATAAATTTAATGATCACCCAGAATGTTGACAGGTGTTGTTTGCTTCCCATGGAAATCCTAAGCATGAAGGAGCGTATGTAACTATCTTTGCAAGTTTTTGCGTGTAGAGAAGTTACCCCTATTTGATTCTTGTATCAGGCTGCATCATCGCGCCGGCAGCAACCCACTAGAGCTGCATGGAACTGTGTACATTGTTGCTTGTACTGATTGTGGTTTTTCTATTTCCCGAAGTGCATTTCAAGATCAAGTAAAGAACCTTAATGAAAAGGTTTGTCTTCAGATCTTTGCATGAGTAGTAGTTTTAACTTAAGCCGTTGACCTTATTTAATCATTTCTAGGTGTTGATCTGGTTTTAAAATATGTTAATAGTTTAGTTTCTTGCTGTTGAGCTTTTATTACTATCCACTGCTGCACCAAAAGCTCATGACATAAAACTGTCACGTTAATGACTGATGAAGAACTAATTTCTCCTTGTATTAGGTCACTTCTGAACAGTTTTTATTTTTATTTTTATTTTTTTCACTTCAGTTAAATGCTCGATGGAATTTATGATGTGCAATACAACAAAAGTACCCATGCTACTTGGTTGAAATTGGACTTTTGAGGTTTACATGTGAAGCTGGTTCACCTTGAGGAATATGATTGAGTCTATTCTCCTTCATGAATTGATGCTTCTTTGACATTTGAGTTGTCGAACAAGAATTCTTAGCATCCTCAACTGTAGAATATTTACGAACATGCTTAATCAAATGACGTAAAAACTCCTGTACGTTAAAAATGCCAAAACAAACCAAACAAATGAAAACAAATTTTGATCCTGATTCCACCACTGGTTGATTGGCCTTGGATGTGTTCATCTTAACCATTGTTTAACTAGCATGAAAGTAAAAAAATCTGAGAAACTATCTTTGATACCTCAGAGCAATCCATTCTCAATTCATCCTTTGATAATGCTAGTGAAGTCATCCCTTAATGTGCATTTGCGCTAGATAAAAGGAAGATAGATTTTAACTGGATTCTTTGGGCAAATGTCATTGACCAGAACCTTAATCTGTTGTTTGGTCCCTCTTTTGATAAGTATGATAGACTGGTTTCGTCTGTCTCATTTTCCTAATCCTATTATCGAATTTTAGTTAATCTCAGTATATCATGAATGAGGTTGTATATGATCTTAGGTTTTAGAAGAAGATACAAATACAATACCTAACGTAATGTCCTTTTCTACAATTTTATAAGAGTTCAGGAATTGAAGCCTAAGATCGAGACTGAATGCACATCAAAATGTTTGTTTAATTCTTTTCTATGCAGTTTGCACTTTTATTTCTGTTCTGTTTCAGCCAATATAATTTCATTTTAAGACTAGGGACACAAAAGCTAGTCAGGATATTTGATCTGTATTCACTGTGAAATCTATAGAAAATACGTTTGCTTTTACCTACTACAGGTCTTATCTCTATTGGTTGACCTTTACTCCTAGGGGAAACATAGTCTACCTATTCTATAAATTCCGTTATCTTCTTTTACAGTGGGCTGCTGCAATTGAAAGTTTAGACTATGACAGTGTTTCAGACAAGAGTTTTGGCATGAAGATAAGGCCTGATGGTGATATCGAGATAGACGAGAAATTCTGGGAGGAGGACTTTCAAATTCCTACTTGTCCAAGATGTAATGGAGTACTGAAACCTGATGTAAGCAACTTTCTGTTTCACGATATAGTTTCAGCCTTTCTTTTTGCTTTCTTCCTGGATCCTTTGAAAAATTAGCTTTTATGGTTTGATGTAAAACTATCAGGTTACAAATAATTGGCAAGAAATGGAAAACGTTATAGTTTTGTCTCCTTTTGCACTTGGTAATTATCCTAACCTTTGTTAATAAAAATGACTTTTTAAGATATGTTGATATCTTTTTACATTTGCAATAGCATTTGAATCTACAGTTGATTGTAATAACTCTATGGAAAAGCAAAACCTGCTAGCTACCATCCTACAAATATCCAGAATGGTACCATCTCATGAAATTTAGGTGTCATGGCTGGGAATCTCATCTCTAACTCTTTGCTTTACTTCGTAACAGTAACATCAGTCATTCTTGTTCAATAGGATGCTATAAGATAGGAGTCAAATGATCTAATGTAATCCCGCTATGCACGAGGCCTTAGTCTGATTAGCGTGCTTCTTGACTTCTATGAAGATCTTTAGGCTTGTCTGTAAAGAAAGAGAAATAAGAAAAATGCTCCAACTTGGAAAATGGGAAAATAAAAACGCAATCAAGTGAAATTACATGGTTAGATAATCCAGAATAGTACTCTGATAATATGAACTTTTTGTGTGCTAATGCTTAACTGAAGAAGAGGGTTATAGGGGAAAGGGATAAGTATTGTAAGATTGTAGAAGAATTGTCAGCCTGTTATACTCCTGGCTCATCTATATGATATACTCCCTCTGTCCCAAAAACATAGTCCACATTGAGTTTTGTGGCTTGTATTAAAAACAGTACAAATCTCAAAACTTAATGTGGACTATTATTTTGGGCGGAGGTAGTAACTTTTAAGGCTTGGGAATATTTCCATTTTTACACTTTGCATAAGGTCCTTAAGTTAAGGACTATCACTTCATTTCAAACCTTGAATTCTGAATGGTCGGTTATAACCTCGTTAGTGTTTGACCCTTCTAACATATTGCAGGTTGTCTTCTTTGGAGACAATGTTCCCAAGGATAGAGCTGATACAGCTATGGAAGCTGCAAAAGATTGTGATGCTTTCCTTGTGCTTGGCTCATCTTTGATGACCATGTCTGCCTTCCGTCTTATCAAGTAAGTACAAATGAGAATGATCTTTGGTGATAACATTTCAGGTACTGTACAAAGTATTGGATTAGATATGAAGGTTTGGAATTTATTTCTTGCACATGACGACATTTAACCTCATGGGAAAGAGGAAGTAATGAAAAGGAAAGAGAAAGGGGTATTACTCCAAACAGACCGTAACAAGATTGATGTTTGTTAGGTGTCTTTCCTTTTTTCTTTCTTTTTTCTTTTTTGTAAACTTTAGATATCACCTAATAAAAAGACTTTCGATTCTAGATCTTTACATGGCATTTTATTCATTTGCCCAGTAACTTTCTCCTTATTTTGCACGAAATTTTTGGCAAAGTGTATTTTTGTTTCTTCAATTATCAAGCCTTGATTATTGAACTTCTTTTCAAGCGGACCAGATTGTTATTTTTTTCAAATCAGTATGGACATGCATTATCTAATATCTGTTACATTTCATTTCAATTCATAGTTACTCATTATTCATCTTTAGAAAAACAAATCAATCCTTTTAGTAGTTCCAGGTTGAACCAACAATTGAGTCTATTAATAACAATTAATGAATGCAAATTTCTAGCTTTTTTTTTTTTTTTTTTAACATTTATGTTGAGTTACTTTTTCTTTTTCTTGTTTTGGTGCAGTGACATGTAAATGAATTACTAGTGTCCAATTAGAAGCAATTACTACTTGGTAGTAGCTCTAACACAAAGGAATAACACCCTATTCTAATTAGAACGACTTATAATGTGTATAGCCGATGAAGAATTACTTAGAAGTTTACTATTCATGAGAATTGTCTACTATCAACAAAAAAATAATATGCAGACTAAACATCATGCTGTGAATAGTGGTAGGTGTGTGAATAATGAGACAGGAAATAGATACCAAATTTTAAATTTCGATTTGAGCTTTTACATCTTATAGTTTTACTATGAGTTTAAAACTTGATTGTATGGAAGTAATCATAGAGAGGTCAATATAGTGAATCTCAAAATTAGTCAGCTAGAAAAAGCACATCCAAAAGATTTAATAAATTGTCTTTGAAATTGAAAGAGAAGTTCTATGTTTTGTAGATTCGAATAGTGGCCACAAGATGTAAGAGAAGTAAAGGTGAGATCGATTTGTGGACATACTCGATGATAAAGACGGGGGGGGGGGGGGGTGGGGTTACACAAATAGATGAATGCAATAGAAAGAAAAGTGGGGGCTTCCGCTTAAGATGGTTTTGGCAAGTGCAGAGGAGGTCCACAGATTCCACCAGTAAGATGATGAGTATCTAAATCAAATTAGAAGTGTAAGGTCAAAGGGAAGACCTTAAAAGAGTTAGAAAGAAATTATTTAAAAAGGCATGATGAGTTTATATCAATGTACTTTCTTAACAGGGTATGATGGCAACATATCATCTAGATTATTAACTTCGCATAGTGGGGTAAAATATACCTTGGTCATTTTCCCTGTTGTATATGTTTAGGTTTTTGTGTACACATAACTTTAGACTGCAATTTGCTTTCTTGGCAAGGGTTGACCTGAAGTCTACTTCTTTGAGGTTACAACCTTCATTTTTATATTATTTGAGCTGTGCGGCTGTGCCACTACTCCAGCTTTCAAGGTTTCTTACACAATTTACTTGATAATATCTTTAGCTTATTGGCCAAGTTTAGGAACAGTATTTGACATTTGGCTACACCGCTTTTCTGAACTTATGGTCTTTCAATGGCTGTTACCAAAATCTAGAAGAAGCTTTTACATGCCCAGCTATAGAAACACATTGACACCAATACATATCGGCTGACAATCTGCATAATTTTGTCGACTTTCAAGCTTTCATCATGCATCTTGTTTCAGATGCATTTCTGCTGCTTCTTTTTCTTCTTAATTTAGGCATTTCTGGCTTTTTCTCAGGGACCACATAGTTGGTGGATTGTGCCTGAATTAATAACAGCTGAATTCTGTATGATATCTCTACCTTATTGTTCACTCGGAAAAGTTGTCTTCCTTTGTGATGTATAGTTTTACCAAATTGTTTCAGCGGTCTATCCAATATTGTCAGTTATGATCTAATCATAGATCTGTCAAGGTGTATTAGGCGTGATCCCATGAATAGTTTGACCATATAATACCAAGTGTATCCTCTTTAGCCTTCAGGATATTCATAACTTGGGAAAATATCTCTTCTTTGGACACCATGATATCAGTATTCAGTTCTTAACACATAGCTAGGGCACCTGTTGAACTTGAATCCGAAGTAGGCCCCATTCCTTCTTATTATTTTCTTCCTGTTTCAGTGCTGTTGGAATTATCAAATAAAGAACGAGTCTTCTATATGGATTTCATTGTTTAACTGAACAGTTTGCATTTAGCAACCAAATAATAAACTTTCTTCTCTCTTTTTCCCTCATAAAATGTACAAGCTAATGAATCTCTTCCTTTGAATGTGTTCATATCATTATGCGATCACAATTAGCTAGACTCTAATTGTTAGAGATGACCTAAACGAACTAAGAATCTGCTGACCGTTTTCATCACTGGAAATGTTATGATTGTAAATATATTGCGTAACTACCTTGGAATTTTGGATGATTTGGGCAGCTCGATTGAACATTTTCATGGTGAAAGACTAAAGAGATAAATACCCATTAGAGTGTTTGTAGTGTTAAGGTTCACATTCCAAGTTGAATCTGTGGATACGAATCTTGAATGTAAATTTGTTGTTATTGTTCACGATAGGACATTCATTAATGTTACCTTTTAATAAAAAAAAATTAATTTTGCATTAGAGCTGCTCATGAAACTGGTGCTGCGACTGCAATTGTGAATATTGGCGAGACACGAGCTGATAAGTTTGTACCTTTGAGAATCAATGCTCGACTTGGGGAGGTATGGTTCCTAGCAGCTCTTGTATCTACATCCTTGATATGTTGCTATTGAAAACTTGAATATTTGCGTACCATGAATGCAGATACTCCCAAGATTGCTTGATGCTGGATCCCTAAGTGTCCCTCTTCCTTAATCTAATTGTATTTGATGAAGGTACGTATCTATGTCTTAATTAACAAATGTGTCAAAAGGCTATCACAATTCTATGCACTAACTGAAACTCATTTTGATGGTAAGTTCTCTGAGACCGACAGCATAACCAAATGATGCATTTTCTTGTTCATCCTAGATTGTGGCTGAATGTTGAAACTTAGTTTTCTGGACATTTTTGGTGATCCACGCACTTTAGTTTGAAAGAATTTCTAATTTCGTGGTGTCTATCATTTCTGAGTTCTGGTTTTCCATTTTCATTCTTAGGATCATAGTTCGCGCATGTTAAAATATCATGAATCGATTGTGTTTGTCAATTATTGCAGAAATCATTCCAGATTGTAACGAACGAACTTAGTAAGATGAATCGGGTCAAATGTGTCCATTCATCATAGAAGGGCCATTGCGAGAGCCAGGATTTGTGACCAAGCCAGCCCATCTGAAATCATCTGGAACAAATAGAACGTTGTATGTCGCAATACAAGATGTGGAACTATAGTTACTGAACTCTAGTCTGTTTATTTCACATCCTAATTTGTTGGAGAAATTCTTACAAAATGCATCCTCCAAATTCTTATTAAATCCTCCCGTATACTATTGTATTCCAAGTCCCAATACGAAAATGTGCATATTCAATTCCGTATGTTTCATGCTCAAAAGTATTCGGCTGAAATTCGCACGTTGGGATAGCCATGCACAGGAACGATGCTGTTGGGAATCCTATCAAGTCATCCTTTTAATATTATAAAAGTGAAATTTTAAACAAAACCATCATATCTAGACGGGAGAGTAAAATTTCTTTGCCCTGTTATGGGTTCATTCCAGAGAACTAAAGAGCACCCAAATTGATATTTTTGTTACCTTCACTGTGAAGGTCTCAAAAAAAAAAAAGATATCTCCAAAAACAATAGAAAGTTAAATTGGAATGTAATAATTCTCTACAGATTTCAAAAGCACAAAAACTTTAAAAAAAAAAAAAAACACCACCACCCCCCCAGGGTGAAATGTCTCAAAAACTCATCAATGAGAGAGGTTCGTTCTTGGAGCAGCCCATTCAACTCTAAGGATGAGATTATCATAACCATATCCGTTCAGTTTGGCAATGGCTCTCTCAGCATCTTCCTTGTTTCTAAAATTCACAAAACCAAACCCTCTGCTTATGCCACCTCCCTTCTGATCACGAGCTACATAAACTCGGCTCACCGGACCAAATTGACCAAACAACTCCTCCAAGTCGGGCTCACTCGTGTCCTCTGAAAGGTTGGTTACTCTCACAGAGTTCTCTTCATTCCTCCGTCTTTCAGATCCTTCTTTTTTAATTGGAGGGACATATTTTGCTGGTTTTGGAATGGAACCATCAGGAGGGAGATGGTTCGACTGTGATGGCTCAACAAAAGTACCACCCTCAGGCACCAAATCCTTATACGGACACCTCGCTGACCAGTGATCACCCTTCTTCCCACAGACTCTGCAAACCATGATAACACCACCTCCTCCTTTATTCGGATCTCCTGAATTAATCTCTTCCTCTTGTGAGGTACCTAATCAAAGTTGACGCAGAAACAACAAAAAATTTAGAATCACACTGAATTGCGAAGAGGGTTTTTATGGTATCGAAAATACTATAAACGTACTCCCTCCATCCCAAAATAAATTTAAACAAAGTAGACTATTTTGTATTGAACGGAGGATCCCACTACTACTCCTTATACCGAGTGATCAAATCCGTAATTTACAAACATTCTCAACACCCAAAATCAAATACTAGTAGTAATATATTCTCAGTACTCTGATTTTCACGAACTGACCACAATGTAAGACTTTGTGAATAGTAATAATATCATAAATTTCAATCGATCACATATTCTAATAGTGGAATCAATATAAAACCCCAGAACCTAGTTCAATAACAAAAGCAGAATCGAAATAAAACCACAAACATAATTAGAAAGAAGAAAAATACACTATAACACGAGGCACAAACTTTTTCTTTTTTTTTTTTTTTTTAACATGTGCAGGGTGTTCACCGTAGGCAATACAAACTCTGAAGCACAAAATTATCACATAATTACAAAATTGTTCCACAATAACAAGAAAATTTCCACGGGTAAAAAATTTATTAAAAAAAAACAGAGAGAGGAATAATAATTACCGGCGGCTTTAGGGCGTTCGAGGCGGATTTCTTCATTGGAGACCACAGTTAGGCGCGCACCGACATCTTCATGAACGGCGTCGCCGAACTTGGGCCAGGAGCGGCGGTCGGCGACGTTCGCCCTAACGCAAACTTTGCGGACAACGCTGGTGGTAGTGACCTTAATTCTCCTGTTGTTCTCGTCCACCTTGTACTCGATTACTTTCTTATGTCCATTCTCGTCCGGAAAGATCACCTGCTTTGGCGGCAGCAGATATTGATCGAAGTCTTCGTCGTCTTCTCCAAGATCGCTCCATCGGGGAGGTTTCGCCGCCGTTTCAGTCACCATCTTGATTGAAATTTTCAAGAATTGGGAGTTGAAAAAATACCGGAATTTAGGGTTTCTGTTTAAGAAGCGATTGAATTTGGTGTAATATGGAAATCACAATTGTCGGCCTAATTTGGATTAAATAGCCCCCCGTTTAACCGACTTTATTCTGGCGGTGGACACTATTATTATTATATTATAGTACTAATCCTTGTAATTTGTTGTCATTAAAAAATAGAGCTGCAATTCCGATAGAAACAGCAACTTGTTGTTTAAAATTTTGATTATTATTAATAGAAACAGCAATTATTTTTCTTTTCTAATAATCTCTTAAAATTGTACGATCATCTATTTTGTTTGGATCGGTACCGAATTATTACCAATAAACTCATCCACGGTTGGAAAAATACATTGAACATTTGTAAAACACAAAAAAAAAAAAAAATTCAATTGCTTCATCATTTTGCAAAGTATTGTTATCTTTAAGATAAAAATAAAAAATACAATTTCAATGAATTTGTTGTTGATTTGGAAAAGTGAAAGCAAGGAAGAACATTACTTGTAGCTAGGAATAGTTTTTTTTTTTAAGGAAAAATACTACTTTGTCCTTATAGAGTCATGTTCGCCACTTCTCATATCATAAAAAAATTCAAATCTTGTGTATAAAACCTTAATTAAGCTTTTTGTTAATTCATATAATTACAAGTAAACAAAATAAAGATTTCAATAAAAAAGATGAATATGTTGATACGAATCATTTTATTTTACTAGTTCTTGACAATAGTATATCAAGAGTCACAAATCCGTTCAAAGAGCGATGATTTTGATGGGTCATTCGGCCAAAAAAATTTAAAAGAATTGATGTGAACAAAAAAAATTTTACTTTTTTTTTTTGGACATAAGTAGTTGTCCCGGATTTGGCAAATCCGAGAGCTTAATTAAACGGTCTTTCGGATTTGCCAAATCCGAAACAATTAAATATAATAAAAAATGATTTTTTTTCTTTATTTCGCAAAAAACGGAAAATATGGTCAAAAGGCAAACAGTGACCTCGGATTTGCGAAATTTGAAAGCCTTTAAATTTAATATTCAAAAAATGCAACAAAAATGGCAGACAAATTCAAAAATTGAAACAATGAACTCGGATTTGCCAAATCCGAGTTCTAGGGTTTAGGGTATAATGTTACCTCTCGGATTTGCCAAATCCGAGGGAATCCTTTCCGTTTAGGGGCAATCAATCCTTCTGGATAAGGTTGTTGGATGTATTAAATCGAATCGGATAAGGTGACGGACATTCGGATTTGCCAAATCCGAGAGCCCCACATGAATAGTGATTCTCGAATTTGCCAAATCCGAAAGATACGTGATATAAAAAGAAAAAGTTGCAACTTCCCTTCATATCGGGTTTTTCAATTTTTGAAGGTTAGAGAAGGTTGTGGTCGGAGTTCTTCAGACTTTTAGACGCACATTACCGCTAAATGCAATAAGAATCGTTATTCTAACGAGATTAGTCATTAGATCAATGTTTTTTTAGTTATTTTGTTGTGTATTTATATTGTTTTCAAGATGGAAGATTGGTAGTGCTTATGATTGATAATTATGAATGTAATATGGTAATGTAGATGTTGTTTTTGAGTTTATAGGTAAGGATTATTATTGTTTTAAGAATTGATAGAGGTTAATTTAATGAATTTGGATGGATTTTGTTTGTATGGATAATTGATAGGCTTTAGTGATAATTTGTATGGATAATTTAATGAGAATTTTTTTATTTTTTAGGTGAGAATTGTTGTTTTTTTTATTTTTTAGGTGAGAATTGTTGTTGTTTTATTTTTTTAGGTGAGATTACGATTAATATAGTTAACGATTTTTTTGTCCCTTGATAAACAGTTAAAATATCCATGCATGGGCTATACATACTTAATTTGTTTCATAGTAGCAAGTGTGTGATAGAAAATGGTGTAATGAACACATTTGAGAACAAGTAGGATGACACTCTTGTTATTGATAGTAGGTTGTCATATGATGAGTTGCTTGGTTTGATTTGTGTGACGTTCGGTTGGAATCTTGAAACAACTACGAAACTCCACATTTCGTTAATATTTATGACTCACGGTGTTAGACGCGCCATGAAGATAAAGAATGATTTACATGTTGGGATCATCTATTACCTCGAGCCAATGACAAGTGTGGATATGTACATAGAGACGGAGAATATCACTAACCAAGAAGATGAGAACAATCATTATGGTGGATCTTTTGCTGCACAAGATAATCACATGGATGAGGGTGAACAAGATGGTCCAAGGCAAGAACAAGCAAGTACTTCACGGGTTCATGAAAAAGATGATGGAATTTTATTTGCACAAGATGATCACATGGATGATGATGATTCCGACTACGTAGCTCCAAGCAAAAGTTCAGAAGCACGAGATCCTAGTGATGATGAGGAAAGTGATGATGAAGAATTGGTGAATGAAGAAAGGGAACTATATCCATTTCCCGGCACCATGCGTATCCTTAAGGAAATGGGTGAATTGAATGCATCGCGTGTTTACAAGGATGATCTTGACATAAAAATGTGGGACGAGACTCCCGAAAGAATGGGCATTAAAATTTGTTTCAAGTCTTAAGGAGAAGCGAAACATACCTTGAAGTTGTGGAACATCCACAATAAAAGGGAGTTAAAGGTTATCGCGAGTAATAGTAAGACGTGGGCGATTCAATGTAGAACATTAGATTCCTCCCCCCCCTCCCCCCAAGATGGCGAACCTATATACAAATAGAGGATCCGCGTGTCACTAGGAAAGCGTGGCTTGCATCAAATAGTGAAATAGCATTCCGCACACAATTGCATGAGAGTGGTTAACAATAATGACAACCGTTGAGCGGACTCGGCGTTTGTTACTAGACTAATCATGAGAAAGGTTGCAAACAATGTAGATTACACGGTAAAATCGGTTCAAAAAGATGTGAAGGAGTTGGTAAAAGTTGATGTTCCCTACAAACGGGCGTGGAATGGGAAGAGGAAAGCTAAAGAGGCGGATTATGGCGATTGGTCCTCCAATTTTGAAGATCTTCCTAGGTAAAATTCAATTTTGATAAATGTCAATTAATTTGTTATAGTTATACTTGTATTGGCATATATTAACTCCGGAAAACTTGATGTGTAGGTATATTGAAATACTTAAGAGTACTAATCCCGAAACTGTAGTGGAATGGGAATGGAAGGAGGGATAAGAAGGTTGGAATATGGGAAGTAGGACTTTTAAATATGTGTTTTGGTCATTTGCACCATTGGCTGCGACTTTCCTTGAATGTCTGCCGGTGATTTCTAGTGATGGAACACACCTACGTGGGAGATACAAGGATAAGTTGCTAGTTGCTGTGGTGTATACCGCAAACAAACACATTTTACCGGTTGCATTCGCCGTGGTTGATGAAGAGACCACTGAAAGTTGGGCATTTTTCATGAAACACTTGAGGTATCATGTTGTGGGTGACACCAAAGTCAGTGTGATTTCCGACCGGAACGCTAGGCTTTTGAGGGCAAAGTCGGAAATACTAGAATGGAGCAATTTAGGTGATGGGGCCCACATGTATTGCCTCCGGCACATTCGAAACAATCTAGTGTCGAAGTATAGGAGTGCGAGAGTGAAGCGGTTATGCCAAAATATGGGGAAGACGCTTAATTTGTAAAAATTCAAGCGATTGAGGCTAGAGCTCTCCGAATTCAAACCTGAAACATGGGAGTATCTTCGTGACATAGGGGGTGTAACTGGACTCGTTTGAAAACCAGACGTCGTTGTTGGGGCATCACAACTACCAATATTTCCGAGAGTTACAACAATGCCCTAAAAAAGATCCGGTTTTTGCCCATTAGAGCTATGATCGATGCTACATTCCACAAAACCGTGAAATTTTACCGAGCCGAATTGTTATTGGCAACGAGTTGTGATACACCCATCCCTCTCGAGCTATGTAAACTCTACGAAGATAAGAACAACAAAGCCGCCACGTATGATGCTGAACCGTTAGATGGCGACGATGATAGTTGGTAGGTGGTAACTCCAACACGGCCTAGTAGGAGCGGTGGGACGGTGTATACGGTCACCTATAACGTGAAAAAGTGTTTGTGAAAGAAATGGCAAGAGTACCGGATGACGTGTACGCACGCACTTGCGGTCGCACGTAAAAAGGGTGATCGGCATGTTTCTCTATACCATAAGTGTTGGAGGCGTCAAACATGGATCAAACAATTCGAATACAATGGTTTTTCACCAGTGCCTACAGAGCGACAATGGCCTATGGTTGACTAGAAACTCTATCCAAATTACGAGAAACTCGTGCAAAATGGCGGTCTGGGCCGACACCAAAGAAGGTGACGCAAGATGCAAATGGATTACCATGCTCAGCGAACAAGTGGTTCTTGTTGGAGATGCGAAGGAGCTCACGATCCTAATTCATGTCCCCACTCGCATCCCCAAGTAGATAAAACACCTTTGGTGGACGAATGGGAGCATCAAAGTGATTAGTTTGTTGTTGTATTTTGTAGAACACCTTATTATGTAATGTTATCTCTTGGATTAAAAGTTAAATTCGTATCTTGTTTGATGTTTGTATTGAACTATTATCATAGAATATAGTGCAATGGCAGTTATTGGATGTTTACAGGTTTTGGGAATTGGTAAAGCAAAATTCACTGTTTTAAAAATTGGGTAACTCTTGGATTTGCCAAATCCAAACCTTACCATTTCGTATACGACTCGAATTTGGCAAATCCAAGTTTGCTATGTTTCTCTGTTTTTTTGATGTCAAGAAGACTTGGATTTGTGAAATTCGAAAGCCATTGTTAGAAGACCTCTCGAATTTAACAAATCCGAATTTGCTCATTTCTCTGATAACGGATTTGACAAATCCCAGACTTCTTGCAAAGGTGGTCTCTCGGATTCGCTAAATCCGAGTCTGTTGGGGGGTATAAAACGGGTTGACCTTCTTCCCCCAATTCATTTTCAACCCCCCTGATTTTGCCCTACCACCGCCGCGACACCTCCCTCCTCCACCATGCAAATCCGCAATTCCAGGTCAAATCCACTCCCCCGCCGCAGTTCCCCCATCACCGCCGGTCTCCACCACTCCCTCCGACACCCTCCTTGACTATAAAACACCCCCCACCACCTCCTGAACACCACCGCCACGACACCGCCGGTCTCCACCACTTCCTCCACCTCCCTCCTACTAAGGTAACAATGT